AGCTCCGGCTGCAAAATTTTGCTTCGACTTGCAGCCATAGCTTCCATTAACCAACACAAAAAGGCAGGGGGAAAAGGCAAGAAATTCAAATTGCTAACTGTTGGTGGTGAAGAGGCTGCTTCTTTGCAGCTCTTTCACCCCAGCAGTTAGAGAGTGTGCAATTGGAGGAGGCTGTCCGGTAAGGTAAGGTGCTGTTTTTCTGCTTTTCAAAAACTGTTCTGGGTGTTTTTGCAGTGTGGCTTTGGGCTGGGGGGGTATGTTTCTGTGCTGTATTGTTGTTTTGTTTTTTGGTGATTTTTTTGCAGCCCCAGCACCTTTGGGGCTTGCTTTGCTATTTATTTTTGGTTTGGGTTTTTTTTAAGCCCCAGTGACGGAGCTTGCTGTGTGCTTTATTTTTGGTTGTGATTTTTTTAAAAAGCCCCAGCGACTGAGCTTGCTGTGTGCTTTTTTTTTTTAATCCCAGTGACGGAGCTTGCTTTGCTGTTTATTTTTGGTGGGGTTTTTGTTGTTGTTTTTTTAAGCCCAGTGCTGTGTCCTTTATTTTATTTACTGTTTATTTTTGGTGGGGTTTTTGTTGTTTTTTTAAAGCCCCAGTGCTGTGTCCTTTATTTTTTTATTTTTATTTTTTTGCCGGAACGGATTAATTGTGTTCCATTGCATTTCAATGGGAAATGGTGCTTCGACTTACAACCATTTCAAGTTACGTCCATCTTCTGGAATGGATTATGGTTGCCAGTCAAGGCTCCACTCTACTTACCTTTGCCCCCAACTCAGCCCGTGATTGTGGGTTCCCCCATCTGCGCTGGGCCTGCTGCTGCACCAACCACAGTGGGCAACGGAGCTTATTCTTAGTGGGCAGGTGGGTGATGGCGAAAGGGAAGAGAGAAAATGAAATGGATCATTTAACATATTTATTGTTAATAACAATAAGAATTGCAGAGCTAAAAAAAATTCTTCAGGCTACATTGAGTCCAGCGTTTGTCAAGGAAGAATCGGAACTCGCAACCTCTGGAACAGTCAGATACCTAAATTGTTGAGCAGTTTGTTTACTTAGCATTTATTTATTTTAGTTTTTAAAAATATGTTCATCCCTCTGTTCCCCTTAGAAAGGTGCCAAAACGGCTTATATCAGTAAAAGACAATATTAGCCTTTCAGTACATGAATAGTATATGTATGATCACCTCTTTACTGAATGGGCACCTGGGATATTGTATAAATATAATATATATTTTTAAAAACGATGTGTCGTAAAGTTGATTCCAATGTATACCACTCGTTCCAGGGCTTCCCAGGTATACAGTACTGAGAAATGTTTTACTATTCCTCTCTTCACCTGGTGCTCTGGGACTGTGCAGCTTGCCCAAAACTATAAAGGTTGGCTCTACTCCAAGGTGGCAATCCAGTGAGGAATCAAACGCCCAACTCCAGGGCAACAGCCAGGTGCTGCAGCCCACTGGTCACAGCCAACTGTAGAAAATGTAAACGACACAAATAATACAATAAAGTTTGGTATAGTGGTTAGAGTGCATTGCATTTAGACTACGAAGATCATAGTCATTTCTGAACTATGAAACTCACTGTGTGATTTTGGACAGCTCCTACTCTTTGAGCATGGCCTCCCTCACAGAGTTGTTGTGAGCATCAGGTGAGTTTAGAGGGCTTTGTGTTCCGAAATATCACCTACTTGAAACCTGACATGGTACAGCCTTACTGTGCCATGTGTAGGCTGGACCGGAAATTATCTTACAAAGTAGTCCATCCTCAGGACTCTGTACACACAATAATTCACTTCTTTTTCCAGGTCTCCCATTTTTCATGTCTCAACAATTGGCCTGCTTTCTTGCCGGAATAAATTAGTGGAAACTGCCATCTTGCTGAAATGGAGCAGCTAATTTAGGAAGTCCTTCATTGTTCCATTAAAAAAAATATAATCCATATTTTTAATGGATTTTGGCAGAGCTTAGAAAAGTAAATTTTCGCGCTATAGTTCCCAGAATTCAATAGGTTGTATGGCCAGTGACCCTGTTGGCTGAAGAAAGAGAGAAGACTTGGGTCCCCTGATGTTCTTGGACTAAAACTCCCAAAGGCCTTCACCACTTGCTCCGCTGGCCAGGACCCCTGGGAGTTGCAGTCCTGGAACATCTTGGGATCCAAGGTTGAGAACCACTTCTCTACTGTTTGATTTCATTGGCTCATTAGTGTCCCCCCTCCCATCCAACCTATGCAGATAGATTTGCTGACACAATACAGTTCCAGGATTAACGTCGCTATCCGGATTCGTCGCTATGTGGGGGGGAACCCATAGGAACACATTAAACTCCGTTTAATGCATTCTTATTGGGGAAAAACTCACCGCTATGCGGGGAATCCTTCATCCGGCCACCATTTTCGCCGTCCGGTAAGCAAGAGCAGGGGGCAAAAATGCTGCGGGCGGCCATTTTGTTGACCGGGTGGCCATTTTGGAACCGCCGATCAGCTGTTTGTAAAACATTGCAATGCGAAGATCGGTAAGCGAAATGCTTACCAATCATCGCAATGCGATGTTTTCCCTATTTAAAACATTGCAATGCGATCGCATTAGTGATCGCAAAAAACACGTCGCTATGCGGATTCATCGTTAAACGGTGCGCTCGTTAAGCGACGCACCACTGTACAACAAAAACAGAAAATCATTATTCTTTTCTGTGGATTTTCCCCCAGCACAGAGGAGCAGATATATGCATCAGTAGAACTATACACCAAAAGGTTCTTGATACCATTGTTCATCCATACAACTGTCTTGCATTTTTTTCCTGCAGTCCCAGTATTTTATCAGGCACAACAGTAATGGTTAATATGGGGTAGGAATATAGATGAAAGGAAGGAATACAATAGTCTCCCTCTATTCAGCACTGGTTAGGCCTCATTTTGAGTATTGTGTCCGGTTCTGGAGACCACACTTCAAAAAGGATGTTGACAAACTGGGACAAGTTCAGTGGAGGGCAACAAGGATGATCAGGGGGCTGGAAACCAAGCCCTATGAGGAAAGACTGAAAGAATTGGGCATGTTTAGCCTTTAGAAAAGAAGACAGAGGGGAGATGCAATAGCATTTCCCAAAGACTTGAAAGGACATCATACAGAGGAGGGACAGGATCTGTTCTAGATCATGTAGTGTGCAGGACACGTAATAATGGGCTCAAACTACAAGAAGCCAGATTTAGGCTGAAAAAATCTTCTTAATTGTTAGAGCAGTACAATAATGGAACCAGTTAACTTGGGAGGTGGTGAGTCCTCCAGCACGGAACCAATTAACTTGGGAGGTGGTGAGTGCTTCAGCATGGGAGGCATTCAAGAAAAAATTGGGCAGCCATTGGTCACTTAAACTTTGATTTGTATTCCTGCATTGAACAAGGGGTTAGACTTGATGGGTTTACAGACCCCTTCCAATTCAATTATCTATGATGCTGGGAAGAGAAAGGTGTAGCAATTGTTTCAGTTTGGAAAATAGTTTTAAAAGTTCTTGTAGTTCATGCTGCTGCCATTCTGGAAAAACCTACAAGGAAGGGAAAACAGGAATGAAAAGGGGGAAACACATTCGTCATTAACAGGAGCATATCATCCCAGTATCTATGTACCTTCCTTGTTTCTCAGATGTGGTCCACGAACAATTCCAGGTGTTTTTGCTGTTGTGTTCACAGTGAGTGTAGCTTGTTTATGTGCAAGACGTCACACGTGCAGGCAGATGTCTTGAGGCCTAGGCTCACCACCAGTAGCTCAACTGGATCTCCTTGGGATGTACAGCATTTCGGTTCTTCCTAGCGGAGCCATAACTAGAGTAGGCAACCGGGTCTTTGACCCAGGATGTCAGAAACAAGTGTCCTCTTTGGCATTTGCTGCTGAAAGGCCATGATCCTGTCTATCCTATACAGTTTTCAGCAGCTCTTCCTTGGGTGGAAGGAGAAACGAAACAGAGGAACTTAGCCCAAAAGATATATGGCTGTTCTTTTCTCAGACACAGATGTTCCTCTCTGTCCCTCTGCCGTCTCTCTGTGTATACCAATCTCACATGACTATCTTTACTATTAGTAAAGCAGTGAAGTCTTGGTTGCCAAAAGTACTACTTAAATCTGTGTCTCCCAGGGCAGGAGCTGGCTAGATAGCACAGTGAGTTGGGCAGCTGGCTACAGAATCAGAGGTTGGGAGTTTGTTTCTTCACTGTGGCTACTGGCAGGAAGAGACAGCCCAGATAGCCTTCAGCAGACTGTGCAGCACACATTCAGAAGAAGGAAATGGTAAACCACTTCTGAATCCTGTACAGCTAGAAAACCCTATGAAATGTCACCACCAGTTGGAATCACTTTGATGGCACATACCTTATTTTTCAGTGTATAAGACGCCCCCACTTTTCTAATCCAAAATTAAGAAATCCAAGTGGGGCTTAGCAAGTGTAGGGGGAAAGGGATCAAAGTGCTGCAGGATCGCTTTGATCCCTGCTTTCCCCTCCACTTGTTTTTGTTCTCTCCTCAGCTTACTTCCATGTATAAGACGACCCTCAATTTTTAGTCTAAAGATTTTAGATAAAAGTATAGTCTTATACATGAAAAAATATGGTAGTTGTGATTATTTTCCCAGGGAAAGGAGTTGTGCAAAGGGGCCTGCTTTGTTTCATTTGTGAGTCCTTGAAACCAACCTTTCTGAGCCTTGCAGATAGATCTGCTTGGAATGAGGGCTGCTAAGGGATTGCTCAGATAACATTATGTGTAATTCTTAATTGATGGGGCATTCATTGCATACATTGCACAGCCTGCCATTGATATAGCTTATGGCAAGAGTGTCCCTGTGCTTTAACTCCCTCCAGCCCTACCCAGCCTCATCAGCGATGAAGGATGATGGGAGCAGCAGTCTAACAAGTTCTGTATAGCCACGTGCCCCCTATCCATAATTTAGAGAGAATCTTAAATTGCTGATGACTTATGTTTTTCTATCTGCTTCTCTCCCCATTCCCATCTTTCACAACAGCTCTTTTTTTTATGCCTTCCTGAATCTGCTGATCAGCGCCTTTGTGGTTTTTGTCATCTTTATTGCCAGCACTATCGTGAGTGTTGGCTTCAACATGTGGTGTGAAGCTATTACTGAAAAAGGAAGCATGCCAAATAGGTGAGTATGAAAGAGGATTTTTTTTAGTGTTCAGTCACAGAAACAGATAACTTGGAGGCAAGGAACAAAATGCAGAGAATGTCAAAGAAAGGGAAACAAACAAGAGGAGATATACAGTGGTGCATCACTTGATGACGATAATCCATTCCAGCAAAATCGTTGTCAAGCGAATGTAAAAAACCCATTAGAATGCATTAAAAACCGGTTAATGCGTTCTAATGGGCAAAATACCTCATTGTCCAGCGAAGATCCTCCATAGGGTGGCTATTTTCCGGTGCCTGTAAAGTGAAAAAGCCCTCCTAAACACAGCGGGGAGCCATTTTGCACAATGGGTGGCCATTTTGAAGCCCGACGATCAGCTGTTTTCTGATTGTCGTTAAGCGAAAAATCAGTTCCCGAAGCAGGGAACCGATCATCATCAAGTGAAAAAAGCCCTTTGAAAGATCGTTTTGCGCTTGCAATAGCGATTGCAAAAACATCGTTGTGAAGCAATTTCACCGTATAATGAGATAATCGTCAAACGGGGCACCACTGTATTCTGGATATTGTTTTGTTAAAGAGCAGTTAAAGCAAGGCCAATGAATGAACTTTCTTATTGGAAGAATTCTGCTTTTGGGCTACAGCTCCCAGAATCTACTCAGCTTCCAACCCTACAAATGTTGCTGGACTACAGCTTGCTCAATCTCTCGCCACTAGCTTTACTGGCCACGGCTGATGGGGATTGTAGTCCAACAAGGGCAGTATAGTCCCTTGTTTCAAGGCTTTTAACTGTAACATGGACTTTTGGGTTTCTGAGTTTTAATTCCAGATTTGTTGCTGTATTTTGATGTGAGCGACATTTTGGGAATCCCCCCAGCTGTAGCCACTGATGCTGGTGCAGGATTCTGGGAAGTGTGGTCCCCAGCAAGTAATTGCTTCAAATTCTGTATATATATATATATTATATAAAGTTACTTGGGTCTGTGATTCATTAGCTATGGTCATGCACATTCCAAAATGGTAAAGCACTTCCATACTGAAGAAAGTTACAAAATACCATTTAAGACCCTAAAGGAGCGCATTTATAGACCTACGCTGAATATAAGGAGACATGAGATTTATTGGTTAATGATTAGGCTGTTCTTCAACACCAGTTGGAAAGCTGAAAATTGCTAACAGCCCCAGACTGGGGTAGACAAAGTGCACCCTGAGATCTTCAGGGCCCAAGTGCGGCCCCCTCACATTTCCCTGCCTTTTTTATTTGGAAAAGAATCACTTAAAAATTATCCTTTTTACTCTGTAAGAGACAAGGAGGTCATTTTGCCATGTTTTGGGCCTCTCTAGGGAAGGTGGCGGTGGGAGTGACTTCTAATCACGTCTGGCTTTAAAAATATGCCTTTGGGGCCTAAAATCACTTAAGAAGGCCTTAAAATGTGGATGCTATATGTCGCATGAGCAAAACTTTTGACGAGTTTTGTTCCCTACCCAAACTGGATGCAAATCCAGAAGTGACTCATGCAGGCAGGCCTCTTCTGGGCCTAAAATAGCTCAATAGCAGCCTGAAATGTGACAGATTTGCTCCCTGTATCTCTTACTGGCACTGTTTTGAATTAATTTTAAAAATGGGTACAGGGGAAAAGGTGGAGGAGGCATAAGGTGACTGCACCCCTCCCCCCCGAATCTCTGAAAGTTGCTTGTCTCTTCCCTGGAGATGATTTCTAAAAACTCTGAAAATGCAGCATAGAAATCGTGAGATTTAATTTTTCCCCTCATAATAGAAGACAAAACTCTTTGTTAATGGAATGGAACTGACTTGACTGAAGTATGTGTGCTTGTCCTATCTTATATTTGAATAAGGCTAAAAGAATATCCAGTACGAATTAGTTATGCGTATCTAATATGCTTCCAGCCTGTGAGCTAAATTTACTAGTGTTATGTAATTGTAACACCCATTACATAACACTAGTTATAATAGAGAAGTAAGCAATTATTCAGTATTCTCTACCAGTCCTTCGGTTTGGTGTTAGGAACAAAAGATCTGCTAGTATCTTTTCGAAAATGCAAATGTCTGCTGGATAATAATGAAGTTGCAGATAAAATTGTGACATTTTATGTCATATGATAATAGATCAAAGGCACTGTTACAGAGTTAATTTTATGTTTTACCTTGTCATATGTTGTAAAATGCCATTAGTGAATGTTCTGTTTAGGGTTGCAACGATTATTCGAATATTCGGTTAAAATTCTCTCTGGGTTTTTTTGGGGAAAAAAAACCCTGACTTAAGAATCGAATATTCGGATAAGCATCCAAGATGGCCGACCACACTGGAAGGGCAAGAAAGAGAGAGAAGAGGCTTTCCGAAACCACAAAACCCCTGGAATTTTTTCACAGCGCCACGTAGAAATCCAAGTTAATTGGTTAAAAAAAAATCTGTAGGCAAGCTATCTTACCAACTTGTTTGTCTGGAGCATCTGAAACAAAAACATGCAAACACCCTCTTCTGAAGTCTTCTCTGATGATGTCATAAGGTAATAGAGGCTCATAAGATGGGTTTCACTTGGGGAAGAAAGCAGAGTGGTGGGGTGGTGCCAAAATTGGGGTGTATGTCTGTTTGGGTGGTTTAGTGGTTGGGATATAATAAAAGAGAAGGTGCTTTTCAATTCTATCAATTTTAATCCGTTTTATCTGTGTCTTAAAAAGCTAAAATTTAGGGTCTTTCCATGCATTTTTCTTTGGTTCTGTTCTGTTCTGCGCATCCCTCTTTCCTGACTCATACTGTTCTTTCTAAGTTTGGGAGCAACATCAGTGCAGTTATTTACACAAGAACAAGAACACCATGGCACGAAAGAATCCTAAGACATTTATAATAACCAACAAAAGTACATGGCTCTGAACTGTTAGATTAATGTGATATATGTAAGACTTCCAAAAATGTTATGGAGTTGTCAACGGCGTACACATTGCCTCTGTTGTGTGTTAGCTAAATCATAGATCGTGGGATCCATAGGCCTGTTTCCTGCCTTCTCATAAGGCATTCTTCTTAGCTGATTTAATCATTGATCTGAGGCAGCCTGAACCTTACTACATAGCAACATGTCCGTGAGGTTCTCTCTGATTGCATTGTGAGTATGAAAAAAGTTGCAATTCAATTAATTGTAATTGATGGATCAGAACCATTGTCTAAGGCCAGATTGTAGGAAAACACTTCTTTCTTCTGTCCAGAGGTGGTTTCTGGTTCCACCCATTGACCCTCTGTTATTTGTCTTGTGTGATTCAGCTTGGGAGGTTCAGCTGTCAATGGATGCAAGCTTTCCTACTTTGTTTGCTTGCAAGTTGTGTTTCTTTCTCTCCTGTAGGATGTTAGTCTTTCAAATTACTGCTCTAGAATGGCAGTGGTGCTAGATCTAGCCTTTCCTATTCTGTCCGCTGCTCTGTGGAGTCAGTCATTCTGAATGTTTGCTTGCTGTATTTTTTTTTCCATGCTTGTCTCTTATAGATTCCTTTTCTTCTAATAAGATACATTGGCTGCAGTCCAAGCACAACCACAGTAGGCCCACTGAATCAGTGGAGATTGGATAAATCAGCTCCTCTGTACATTCCATGGATGGTCCTTTTCTAGTTGCAACTTACTTCTGGGTTTCAGGACAATCTATGCTTAAGGAAATCTGCCTTATCATGCTTAAAGATGATACTGTTTGGGTTGTATACACACAGATTTGAAGGACCTGAAATTGACTGAAACATTTTAAAAAAAACAAATAACTGAAGTGCAGAGATCCTGGGATCCTCCAGGTATCCATGCCAGGTACATGGACTTCACTGTTGTGGATCTGTGGTGGAAACAGGCAGGCACATTTTGTCTTTTAGACACTACAGACATAGAAATGGCTTTACAGTGGTGCCCCGCATGACAACGATAATCCGTCCCATTGAAATAGCTGTTTAGCGAAAACATTCGTCTAGCAAAAACCGTTTACCCATTGGAATGCATTTAAACCCGTTTAATGCATTCCAATGGGGAAAAATCCTTGTCGTTCTGTGAAGATCGCCCATAGGGAAGCCATTTTGCGAAGTGCTGGTCATCTGTTAAAATGGCTGCACTGTGAAGCATCGGTCCCGAAAACACCCGATTGCAAAGCTCCGATCAGTGGCAAAATTGTCGTCTTGCGAAAATCGGTTTGCGAAGCAGGGACCCAAACATTGTCCAGTGAAAATTGCCCTTTGGAATCACTGTTTTGCGAATCGCTATAGCGATCACAAAACCTCCTCATCATGCGGATTTGTCATTTTGTGAGTCATTGTCTAGCGAGGTACCACTGTATACTGGATCACACCCTTGGTCAATTTAGGTTAGCTCCTCTAGACTGACCAGCAGCAACTTTGTAAGCGCTGCCAGAGGTTGAACCTGAAATGTGTCTTGAGGAAATCAGTGCCCTTGACCACAATCTATGGACAATATGCAGTTTGTATTTGCTTTTATTGCTAAAATATGAGATATTCTGACTGTTCAAGGTGCTATAGTTGGGGAAATGAGATTGTTGCTGAGTTTGCTGGATGGACTGCAGTCGGTTTGTGTGACAGGCAGTAGTTATATTGTTTAAATGTTCGTTCTTAGTCCTGAGTATCACAATAGCCTTTCCTAGTGGGAATTGAATTTATTTATTGCAAGCCTACACCATTTTCCTGCAAAGAAGAGACAGAATGTGGCCTTTGCTGTACTGCCCACATAGTAGAACATCTAAACTTAGAAAGAAGAGTAAAGCTGCTGGGTCTTATCAAGGAGCCATCTAGTCCAACATTCCGGCTGGGATTCAGATTTCTTTAGCCCCATCAGTTCTGCATAACTAGTGAACACAGCCCTTGCGTCTCCTTCTACACAGTCTACACCAACTATTCCACTGATCCCCAGGAATGCCCTTGTGAGGAGAGTGCAAGTGCACTCGTAGCTCAATAGAAGCCTGAAATGTGGCAGATTTGCCCCCTGCATCTGTTTTTTGTGAAAGGCTTGCAAGATGTTTTGTGAAGTCTATGAAAAGCACTGATGACATCTAGCACTCAGGGACATGGTGTTTTTGTACAGAAACAGACAAAACAGATCTTCCTTTAGCAACAGAAGGACATGTGTGTGTGGGGGGGGAGGGAATCCTCAGTTTTGATTTCATTACATTTCTTTAACTCACATCTGTATCCTCATCCCATCTTTGGTTTGAATTAAATTGCAGGGCTTTGATATTTTTTTCCTGATTGCAAAGGAATTTATGATTGGTGGTTTGCCTGTTGTGGGGTTTTTTTTGCACTTATATAGTAAACATTTTAAGGTATGCCCCATTGTGCACATTTTCCCATTGTGCACATTTTCCCATTTTAATGTATTCGTATCTGTGCACATTTTCCCATTGATTAAAATGGATGCATATTTTATAATTGGAGACAATTTTATCCATTCACGTTATTAAAAATGTACCCATGACCTTGCATATATTTTTATCTCTCTGAGATGCATGGCAAGCCTCACAAAACAGTGAATTTTAAAGACAAAGTATGTCTTGCCACAGATCTTGGGAGGTGCACGGCCACATTGATTCGGACATGATCCTAGCAAAAATATTTTCTTTCCGTCGTAAGAAAGCCTTTCTGTCAAGGCTAGCCTGTAGAGATAGGGAGCTTTGCACATTTGAACAATCCCTTGTGATTGCATGATCAAAATATAGGTGCAACACTTTTTTTAACAATCATGTGGAAGGGCCCTGTCAGATTAAGAATGCAGCAGAATTCTGTAATTTAGACTCCGATGGAACATTCATGGAGCTTCTTTCTTCCTCACAATCTGCAGGGCATTGATCAGAACAGGAACAAATGGCAAAGTCTTAGAAGAAAACTTGACATTTTGGCCGTTGTTCTGTTATTTTTTTGTCTGAGATCAATAAACTAAAACTGGCTCAACAGCATGCCCTGAGAGAGGCTGCCATGTAAAAGTTTATCTTTGTCCTCAAGGATAGTGGGATGATTGCTTTGTAATAAAGATGTTGATTTTTGTTTCTTTCCCTTTCATCCAAAATATCTTCTCCTCTAGCTGTGAAGAACTGCAGGATATAGATCTTGAGCTGAATTTAGAAAACTCATCATTCTATGACCAGTTTGCCATCACACAGGTGAGTGAACCACTATTGACCAGAGCCTCTCTCATCATCGAACGGATGACTTGTAACTGTGGAAATGACTTTGGGAGATCTCCCGAAGTAGCATCCTCCTCACCTGAGGTTACCTGGGATCAGTTTACACATGCATAAACACAGCCTATATCATTGTTTTCTCATCCAGTGCTTGATGATGTGACGCCACATCTATGAACAGAGGAAAGCGGAAAGCAATGTGCTCCAATGAAACGACTGTCTTCTCTGTCATGATGTGTCTCTAGTGATTTCGTTCATACGTTTGTGCCCATCTGGGGCATTTTAGAGCAGGGCAACCAGGTTGGTGTGCCGTCTGAAAACTGTACACCATGAAAAATGGTTAAAATACCTGCCTGGAGTAGAAGAGTTGGGGTAATGGGCTTCAACTACATGAAGGATTATCGTACAGAAGATAGGGCAGCCTGAATCTCTGTTGCTTCAGAAGGCAGGATTGAAAGCAGTTGGGTGGAAATTACAGGAGAGCAGATTTTGAGTAAACGCTAGGAGAAATTTCCTGATGGTAAGAACAGCTAGCTGATCATTGGGATAGCTAGCTGTAGGAAATGGTATGCTTTTCTTGTTTGAGTTTTTAAGATACAGGCTAGATAGTCATGCGTGAGCGCTGCTGTAGATGCCGGCAGAGCCTACCTTGAGCACTGATTCGGGACTAGATGATTTCCGAGACTACTTTAAATTCTGTTGTTCTGTGGCATTACTTCAGTCATCAGGTGATGGACTTGCATGTGTGAGCTCACCTCAAGGCTTTTGAAATCAGATGAAAACATATATAGGCAACAATGTTGGTTTCTCTGACTTAGGATTCCAACAGCAGGAATGAAGCAGTATGTCCTGGTGGTCAGTATCTAGGTGAGGACAGAAAGATGTGTTTCTCTTAATGGTACCATCAGATGTGGGCATTTGTTCTTAGAACTGAAGTTCTACTATTTCTTGAAAAGGCCCATGGTATGATACAGGGAAGGGCTTAGAGGCTATGAAATGTGAATTTAGTGTGGGCCAAGGCAAGCTATGCTCCAATAGCATTGTAGGGTATGTCCTGTTATTCTCAGATAGTGAAGTTGGGCTTTGTATGACATACAGAAGGCGATTTGTGTTTGCCGTCTCTCAGAATGGTGTTTGCTTGTTCCTTTTTAAATATTTGTACACTTATTATTTTAGTTTTAATATTGTCTTTTCATGAGGTACACCATCGTTGTATACTCATTGTTTTAAATATTGTCTTTCATGATGGGATGTGGTGGCGCTGCGCGTTAAACCGTAGAAGCCTCTGTGCTGCAAGGTCAGAAGACCTGCAGTCGTAAGATCGAATCCACATGACGGAGTGAGCTCTAGTCGCTTGTCCCAGCTCCCGACAACCTAGCAGTTCGAAAGCATGCAAAATGCAAAATGCAAGTAGATAAATAGGTACGACCATGGTGGGAAGGAAATGGAGTTCCGTGTCTAGTCGCGCTGGCCACATGACAACGGAAGATTGTCTTCGGACAAACGCTGGCTCTATGGCTTGGAAACGGGGATGAGCACCGCCCCCTAGAGTCGGACATGACTGGACAAATTGTCAAGGGGAACCTTTACCTTTTTACTGGTATTCTCACGCACATGCCAAGCCTGCAGGCATGCTCACCTCAAGAATCACTTAAGTGGCTCTTTAAATGTCAGCTGGATGTGAGTGAATATGCTGTAATTTGCCTTCCACCTACGTTAGAAAGAAACAGGATTTCACCCAACGGGTGTAACCAAACTTTTAGAATTAGCAGTCTAGGACAGAAGTAGAATCAGGAGAATACTTCAAGAAATAAAGTAATCTGGAAAATGCATCCCTCCCAAGCCTTAAACATTTTTTCGTTGAAACGTTTTTCACCTATTTGCTCTGTTTTAGATTGTTTTGTAAATGTTGTTCGAGATTGTACTGAAGATGGTATAGAATGGGAATACAGAAACTCATGCTAAGGAACCAAACCCAGCTTTCCTGAGGTCCTAGTCTACCCTGCAAGGGCTCCTAGAAAGACATGTTGTTTTTCTGGTGACACCATTATTTGCTGGATTTCCAAGTTTTGTACAGTTCTAAAAGGCTGGGCTGTCTCTCCTATAGCTTAATCACCAGCAGTATGAGTGGTGGCGCTGCGGGCTAAATCGCAGAAGCTTGTGCTGCAGGGTCAGAAGACCAAGCAGTCGTAAGATCGAATCCACACGGCGGAGTGAGCTCCCGTTGCTTGTCCCAGCTCCCGCCAACCTAGCGGTTCGAAAGCATGCAAATGCAAGTAGATAAATAGGGCCCACCTTGGTGGGAAGGTAACAGCGTTCCGTGTCTAAGTCGCACTGGCCATGTGACCACGGAAGATTGTCTTCGGACAAACGCTGGCTCTATGGCTTGGAAACGGGGATGAGCACCGCCTCCTAGAGTCGAACACGACTGGACAAAAATTGTCAAGGGGGACCTTTACCTTTACCTTTTTACACTGATATTTGGGTCCTACTTTTTTTCCCTCTGTCATTGTTCATCACCCATAAAGTTTCTCTGAAACGGAGGTTGCCTCTTGGGTTGAGAGCGATTCCCTGCCATTGGTATAGAAAGTAATATTAGGAATCATGTGCCTCCGTCATCTCTGCATTTCTCAAATCTTTCTCCTCTCTCCTCTTTTGTCTTGTCTAGTTTGGTCTCTGGGCTGCCTGGGTGACCTGGCTAGGAATTACCATCTTGGCCTTTTTGAAGGTTTATCAGAACTATCGGCAGGAAGACCTCCTGGACAGCCTGATTCATGAGAAGGAGCTTTTGCTAGGACGATCCTCTTCACGAACTTCCTTTCAGGAGGAGAAAAGTGGCATGATTTAACGGGAAGGCTGAGCTGAATCTGCTCAGCAGGTTGTGGGTTTTGTACGTTGGCATCTCTGTTTTGAGGACCGTGAAAGGAATTGTTGTAATCCATGCAATTTTTTTTTCCAGAAAGGAAAGCAAATCTGGAAATAAGCAGCCCATTAAGGATATCTTTGTCCGCAAAAATATCCCTGCTAACAGGCTAGTTCACACATATGTGTTCATCATGGTCTCTTGTCTGTGAATTACTCAACAATGGGTGAATGTCAGTTAGATTTGCAAACTCTCTCCATTGTAAGGATTCCGTTAGAGTTGGTGTGATATTGAAAGTCCATCTTTGGAGATTAATTTGCCTTTACTCTTTCACACCTGCAAATCATCCCTTTTTGCTTGTATTTGTACCTGATAGACATGCATGTGTGAACCGACCCATAGACAATAAACTTTGTGCCATTTCCTTGATACAGGTTTAGTCAAGTTGTCACCTACAACATATTTTCTGTTGAACATACAATTAGCTTTAGACTTGGGAATAGCAACATATATTCTTCCTTAACTGGTGTCCATGCCATCTCAGAGATATTGTGTTGGATACAGACTTAGTCATGTTTAGAAGAAATCCAATGAAATTGCTGCAACAAGTAAGTCATGGCTATCTGAATTGCTGATTTCACCCGATTTCTGCCACCAGACTAAGGACAGAAAAAGACATGAAAGACAACTTGGTATTAGAAGATGTGAATCCTTAAGGGCTGATTGTTTGTGAGTATCATGCCAGGCGCTTATTTCATCTCTCAGAGTTGGCAAATTAACTGGCTTTCTTTTATGATTGATCTTGGGAACATAAGCAAAAGATTCAGTGGAAGCCTGATTTCTCAAATAGAAATGTTTGTCTGAATCACATCTCTCCAACACTAAGGTGCTTTCAACTGATAATGAAATGTTTATAACATCACTTTCTGTCCTAAGTCTGGATCCAACCCAACGTTATGCATGACTTGGGCTTAATTATGTGGAGGCACATTTAGTGAATTCCTTTTGTCTGGGAGTGCAGGTATGAGGACTGGAAATTGCACGTGTGTGTACAAAACTAGGTAGTGTTAAAGTGGCCATGGCATAGGTGAAGATATTTTTGCAGGACTCGTGTGGTCTCTTTCCCCACTTGAAGGCTCTGGATGATTCAATAAATGGATGAACTGGAGGCTGAAAACGTTCCAAGATCATGCTAAAGTTGTACCTACCCTATGGCCCAGTAGAGAACATGTTTATTGGTGACCACAAGTCCATCTAAGGTTATTTACCTTAGATGTAGCCTTACTTTTTCTGTGGCACAATGCCAACTAGAGTAGACCCATTGAATCAAACTATTTGTGCCAACTAGAGTAGACCCATTGAATCGGGTTTGTTAAGTCAACGTATGTGTAGGTCCTGTTGATTCAATGGCTTGTTTCCAGTTGGGACTAGAAATGTCAGTTCTTATGTCTCTTGTCCTCACATAAGAAGAGCTGTGACATTCTCCTCCTCTCTGGAAACATGGTAGTGAAAATAAAACAGCAAACATTATAATGCCATTGTGCAAAACTCTGGTAAGGCCACACCTGGAGTATTGTGTACAGTTCTGGTTGCTGCAACTCAAAAAAGACATTGTGGAACTAGAAAAGGTGCAGAAGAGCGCAACTAAAATGATGACTGGGCTGGGGTACCTCCCTTATGAGGAAAGGCTACAGCGTTTGGGCTCTTTAGTCCAGAGACAAGGCGCCTGAGGAGGGACATGATTGAGAGGTCTAAAATGATGGAGAGGATGGATAAATTGGACAGAGGGAAGCTGGTTTCCCTCTCACGCAATGCCAGAACCAGGGGACATCCATTCCAATTGAGTGTTAGGAGAGGGAAAACAGACAAAAGAAAAGATTTCTGTATCCAACAGAAATTAGACTATGGAACCCCTTGCCACAGGATGTCTAGATTCCTTTAAAGGGGGATTGAACAGATTTCTGGAGGAAAAGTCCATTACAGGTTACATGATGGTGTATAATTCCAGGCTTAAAAGGAAGGTACCTCAAAATGCCAGATGCAGGGGAGGGGTGTCAGGAGACAAATGTCCTGTTGTCTCGTGGGCTCCCAGAAGCATCTGGTGGGGCCACTGTGAGATACAGGAAGCTGAACTAGATGGGCCCTTGGCCTGATCCAGCAGGGCTTTTCTTATGTTCTTATATTCTAGATAATTCTATAGTGTTTACATTGGTGAGAGTGACATTTTGTACCATTTCTCCCAGCAAAATTACACAGTCCATACACTTTCATGGGGTGTTGCTGTCTTTCTCAACAATTAGCCAATCCTTCTATGCTTACTCTTTGTCTGTGTGAATGTGGTGTATATGTGTGTGCATGTGTGGGTGTATATGTGTGTGCTTTGCTTCTCAGAGACAAAGTACAATATAGACAATTTGCACAAATTACAGATAATTGAAGCAGGAGGAGAACTCTTTGCCTTGTTCTCAGCTGGGGATGATAAATTTCACATGATTTTTAATGTTCCTTGTCAAGACAGCTTATGCGGACAAGAACAAAGCATTTAGAAAGTAATATTTCTGCCTGTAGTTAGAATTAACACCTGGATTTAACCCTACATCTATGGGCCAGATTGCACAGCTGTGACCCATAGGACATCTGTGGGCCAGATCACACAGTTGTCCTGCATTTGGTAGCTGTGGGAACTGGAAGAGTATTTCACCATTTAGTATCCCAGTATGTGTTACAAGCATTATGTCGTACATAGCATTCTCCATACACAAGGTTCAGCTTTCAACCAGACCTACCATAATCTCTTGAGAACTGAAAATTGAGGTTCTATACTAAAAAGTAGCATAAGTCCTTAACAGAAGCATCAGAAAGTGGCAGGCTGAAGATGACCAGATGTTGCGCCAATGATGTGAATCAGAAATCCTGGTCTTCCAGACTGTCAGTATGATCATGATCTGTCAAGAGTTTTTGCATATGCTATTCAGTGGTTCAATCTGAACATCGTCGCTGAGACATTTTTAGCAGAACTGAACTACGATGCCTCACTCCTACGTGGCTGGAAATACTCCAGATCTGAACGGAGGATTTAGAAATATTGAAAACTTGCAACTAAAAAGCTGTGAGTTCTCTCTCAAAAATGAGACTGTCCCTAAAACCACCCTTCAATAGTTTTGATGCATTGTTTTCCAGATTTAATTTGCAGTAGGACGACGGCATCTGAGGAGGATCAGTCCTCTCCCGTGGATGCCAAAAACTGCTGATAATAGTGAATCCTATATATCAGATGTCCCCAACCCTCGCGCAGCGGGGTGCCCCACCTTCCCCAGCCAGTCCCCAGGGCTAAAGGTTGGGGACCACTGCTATATATATAGTGTCTCTGGTTCCCTCTCGTGTCTAAAGGTTGGGGACCACTGCTATATATAGTGTCTCTGGTTCCCTCTCTTGGCCAGGTCTGGTAATTACATCATGGGAAATACGTATTTCTGGGTTTTTTTCCCAGGTCTGGTAATTACATCATGGAAATACGTATTTCTGTGGTTTTTTTCATTTAATATTTATAATATTTCAGACCATGGGTAAATGAAATCATGGATACCGATCCTGTGGATACGAGGGTCCTGCTGTATTTTAATCACTCACCAAACTCACAAAATGTATGTGCATATGTGTGTACACACACATATATACTTTTTAGGAAAGTGATCCTGTGGATACGAGGGTCCTACTGTATTTTGATCACTCGCCAAACTCACAAAATGTGTGTGCATATGTGTGTACACACACACATATATATATACTTTTTAGGAAAGCTGCTTCTGGTGGGATTTAGCTGAAAAGATGTGGGGACAGAATGTTTGACTAGAAACTTGTTTCTACTGTCCCAATGATGGGGGTTAGTGTGGAGAGTATCAGCCATTACATTCTATTTAAGTGCACCCTTTGAGAGGCTGTCGTGTGCATTTTTTTTAGCTTCAACTTTGAAGTTGGCATGTGAAATATATTATTATAGCTTAGTAAAACATAGTGAAATGGGCAACCATTAACAGCTTGCCTTGTAATCAATTAATATATAATGCTTGCTTCTATAGATATGCAACTAGAATCTCAGTAATATATTCTACAGTGCTAGTAGCTCATTTGTGATATGGCTCTCCTAGATTTTGTGTAATTATACAGTGTGCAGCTACCTCTCTCTCTCTCTCTCTCTGTCTCTGTGTGTGTGTGTGTGTGTGAAATAAACAATAGGCCATATCCCTTCTTTTAACCAAATGTTTAGAGATAGAAATTGCAATCCAAGCAATTTGCATGCATGAGAATGATGGGTTAGAATTTCTTTCAAGATATGTTCTGGGATCCAGGATTTCTAACTGTGGAGGTTACACCTGGCCATATTTGGTGAATGCAGGATTAAAGCACGGATAAAATTCATTGTTCCTCTACTGAGTGCCTGCTTTTTCCCTTTTCTGAAATGATGGGTGTCCTCTCTGATATGACCACAAGGCCGGTGTGAAACATGAGTCCAGAGATTCAAGAAGTTAATTTTTTTTAGTCTCCTAGAATCTCCTGACCTGTACGGCCAGTGGCCAAGCTGATTAGCGGATTCTGGCAACTGTAGTCCAAAAAAGGAAGCTTTTTTGGTTGGTGTGAGTCTGGGTTTGGCCTTTAGGAGAGCTTGTACTTATGTAAACCAGAACAATGGACATACTACTAGCAGGTCTGTTAGGAAAGCGTGAAGGCAGGAGAAGGGGACGACAGAGGATGAGATGGTTGGACAGTGTCATCATTGCGACCAACATGAATTTGACCCAACTCTGGGAAGCAGAGGAAGACAGGAGGGCCTGGCGTGCTCTGGTCCATGGGTTCACGAAGAGTCGGACACGACTAAACAACAATAAATCTAAAACAACCTGCTTCCCAAATCCCATCATTCTATCTTAATATGACCAAAAATAGGATCTTCCCTTGCCCAGCCACAGGTTATCAATTGGGCTGTCTTATACAGTAGATATAGACACTCCCACTGCGAGGCTCACCCAAGACCTATTAAATGGTCTGGATGTTTGTTTTGAGTGGCATGGGGAGTGTGCATTCGTATTTAGAGCTACAAGTTAGTAATTTCAATGTGTGTGTATGTATATGTGTATGCCTTGTGTCAGTTACATCATTCTATCTTAATATGACCAAAAATAGGATCTTCCCTTGCCCAGCCACAGGTTATCAATTGGGCTGTCTTATACAGTAGATATAGACACTCCCACTGCGAGGCTCACCCAAGACCTATTAAATGGTCTGGATGTTTGTTTTGAGTGGCATGGGGAGTGTGCATTCGTATTTAGAGCTACAAGTTAGTAATTTCAACGTGCGTGTATGTATATGTGTATGTCTTGTGTCAGTTACATCCCAGCTTTCCTCAAATGGCTCAGGCTAGTATACATGGCTCCCTTCTTCTCCACTTAATCTTCATAACAATCTTAGGGTTTACTTGATGAACTTCATAGCTGGCTAAAACCTGCATCTCCCACACCTTGGCCCAACACTCTGACCACGATACTGTATTGTCTGCCAGTATCTAGTTGCTCACTGGTGCAGCTGGATCAGGTTGAGAGGTTTCCCATTTTTTTTGATGTCATAGAGCCTTGAGACTTCTTGTAAATGTTCACTTCAAATTAAGGAGTCAACTACTGAGAGTGTCACATTATTTATGTATTACACTGCTATGATCTTGCAAAATTCTCTCCTGCTCTTGCTTTTTCCATAAATAAGCCTTCAAGCCTGACATGTTAACTAGGGCAGAAAAATTCCAAAGTGAGAAAAAGAGGTACGATATTGTGTGCTGGCACAAGAAATGTATTTCTATCAGATTTTCAAGAGCTGCTTTCTGATATTGGCCAGGATCCTATCGGTTAGTTACTCTGGCACAAAGTGGCATAAATTGCATTGGTGAATTGCCTATAATTTATGAGTCACCACTTGTATCGCTTGTTGCACCTCCTCATGTGCACCTCCTCATGTGAGCGGGGTGTGATGATGACTTGTTAACTAGTGGCAATTTGCCACTGTACTTTTTTGCCATTACATTTAATGTTTGTGTAACTAGCTGATAGGATTCTGGCCACTACTGTTTATAAGCTATAGGATCACCCTGCAAAGATACTTCATATGCCAAAACATAATGCTATTATCTGTTTCTCATTTGACTCTACACGTGTTTTAAATGCTTTCATCTACTCCTGTACATTGTTTACACTGATCGCTTGTGTGTCCAAACCAAAGATCTTTTTGTGAAAGGGTTGTCTTCTCTTCTGGAATTAATTTATTTTTATTTATTTATTTATTTCATTTATATGCTGTTTTTCTCCCAGGATTGTGATGGAACTGCACCATTTTAGTAGATTCCTAGTTTTTGCAGACTGACTTGACCAAGGCTGTATGTCTCAGTGCCATCTGTGGCTTTTTCCTCTGTTCATTTCCTTTGGCACGTATTTATTTAATATACATATTAATATAAATATTAAATGTATTCACGAAAGTTTTCACGGCCAGGATCTAATGGTTGTTGTGGGTTTTTCAGGCTTTTTGGCCATGTTCTGAATAAATATTAAACATTTGTAAATCACCCCCTGCCCACTGGACGCTCAAGGTGATACACAGATTTCCAATGAAAGGGCAATGAAACAAATACTTCATCACAATTCAATTAAAACAGAAGGTGGACCATCCTTCATGATGAAATAAGGGAACAACATCAAACAGATGTTGAAAGTTTAGGAGAATGATCAAGCGTTCTCTGCTTCCCTAAAGCCTAAGAAAGAGGGGCTCATCTCTCTAGGGATGGAGTTATATAATCAAGGCCCTGCCTGACTACCTACCAACTTAATTTCTATGGGTCATGGGTGACCGAATGCAGCTCCTCAGGTGACCTCTTCAGGGGCATTTATTTTACTGTATTTTTCCGTGTATAAGACTATACTTTTGTCTAAAATCTTTAGACTAAAAATTGAGGGTCATCTTATACACGGAAGTAAGCTGAGGAGAGAACAAAAACAAGTGGAGGGGAAAGCAAGGATCAAAGCGATCCTGCAGCGTTTTGATCCCTTTTCCCATACACTTGCTAAGCTCCACTTATTTTTCTTAATTTTGGATTAGAAAAGTGGGGGGCGTCTTATACATGGGGGTGTCTTATACACGGAAATATATGGTTTATACACGGAAAAATATGGTATTTTATTTTTATATCACCCACCTGGCTACCAAGGCCACTCTGGGTGGCCCTGAAGACAACTCCACAGACCCATTTAAAAATTCAAAAATGTTTTTGATTATGAATTTTTCATTTTTCTTAAGGATTTTTTTTTGGGGGGGACACCTGCTATAACCCCCCCCTCAAAAATCAAAACTGCAGCTACTCATCTGGGAACTTCCTGTTGTGGTTTTTTAAAAAAACGCACACACAAAGTGACAGTGTTCAGGCATCTCTAGGCTGGGTGTGGTCCTTAGGGTTAGAATCTGTGCTTGTAATGAACATAACACAATTAATCATCAACCTATTTAAAATGCCAAATTCAAAATGTATAAGAATTTGGGATTGAAAAAGTGCATTCTGCATTTCTTCCAGCATTTGTTAAAAGTCCATTTCAGAACTTATCTGTATGCCTTGCATTGTCCTCCAAGGTCTTTATTCGCTGTTTCATTGGCCATGAATTGCATGCAGTGTACTTAAAAATTGCACAGTGTTACTTGACTCATGCAGAACTGAACACCGAGTTGTTTTCTAAAGTGCAGAAAAGGAAAAAAAAAGCTCTCTTTTTGCCGTGATGCTTTGTCTCCTCAAGCAAAACTGAGGTTGCTTGGCCTGTACTCTGAACCTATAGCCAAATTCCATTGTATGTGATGTGTGGGTGTATGTATGTATGTATGGGGGTGGGGGAAGTTGCCTAAAATAGCATATTATTGTTGATTCTTAATGAACATGTTTTACCTCAAATGCTTCTCTCTCCCCTCTTCCAAACAGCATATTGGGCTTCTGATCTGGTGCCATATATAATAAACTGTGTGGAAAATTTATGTGTCTTTGCTTTTCATTTAACTCGAAATGGAAGCATCACAGATTTTTTAGCACTTCTGTTTTCTACAACTCCTCTTTCTTGTTCTTACAAGTGGTTCTGCTTGATGTAAGAAGCATAACACTGGTACCATAAGTGGCATTCTTGCATACAACTCAGCCAAAAGCTACATTGAATTTGCCATATACGTTCGAAGTGGGATTCCCTTTTCTGATCTTCTGGTAGCTCTCTGGGAGCAGTAGTGCATTATTTTTCTCACCAGCAGTGGTGAACGTGGTCTCTCTTTGTTCCTGCTAGGGAATATATGAGTATTTTCTTCCTACTTCTTATTTTTCCTACTGAAGCGTCTAGAAAGAGGGACAAAATAATTCCTTTCTGTGATTTGAGTCCATAGCAGTTTCACATAGCCAAGGAGATGTGGCAGGATGATTCATGAAGCAAAATCAAAGACTTGGAATTTTGTAAGTAGCGGGGGGAAGGCTGCTCAACAACAATGATGTGGGTACCAACAAGAAAACTGCAGAGAGTGTTTTTCCCTCCATTGCCTCTTCTTGTCTTCTAGAGAGAAAGATTCAATTCTCTCTTGGTTTCAAAAACAGTTTTGAAATGTGTGTGTGTATTGGAGCCTCGTGGCGTAGTGGTTAAACTGCTGTACTGCAGCCAAAAGGTAGAGCTCAAGGTTGACTCAGCCTTCTATCCTTCCGAGGTTGGTAAAATGAGTACCGAACTTACAGGGGGGCAATGTGTAGCCTGCATAATTAATGCCCAAAGATTGCTTGAAGTGCTGCAGGGTGGTATATAAGCAGAACACTTTACATTTATATCTAACCTTCCTTTCATTGAACTTTATATGACTCTCCTTTTCACTATTCTTGTCTTCACAGCAGCCTTGCAAGGTAGACCAGGTGGGGTGAGTGTGATTTGCCCAAGGTCATCCAGTGGGTTTCATGTTTCACTAGGGAGTAGACCAGAGAAGTCCAAAGTCCCACTATAGCCTCATCCTAGGGGGGAATAAAAGCCATCAGTATTTCAAACAAACAATAGGTCGGAGGATCTCTGACTTTGCTGAAGTCCGGTGATGAAGTTTCTGTTGCTCCATAAAATATATTGTGGCATGATTCATGTTTTGATTTCAATATGTACTGGTTTTCCCCTGCCCACTCTGCGTCATCAGATACTACCAGCAAAGGGAAGAAGCTGTACCCATAGAATATTTGCCTGTGCAGCACGTGAATCATGGAGAGGTCAGGACTTCACCATATGCTGATGTTTGTGGTGGTAGACTCACGATTCATATAATGTATCTCTCAGCTGGTCTGTCGACCCTAATATCTGTTGACCTCAGCCTCCTTTCTACCATGCTTTGATGCTGATGGGGTCAAAAATGGGATAACAAGTGATATTTATGTACAAAATACATTTCTAGTGTTGCAGTTCCTTTTCTGACTGCCGCTGGGGAATCATTTACTAGGGTGAGTGATGTTCATGGATCTCTTCAGAGTGCTGCTATTGAAAATACTTTTTAAAGTACGCTGTTCTGTTCAAATCTGTTGGTTTAAAAAAAAACAACAGCCAGCCAACGTCTTCTTGGCTCATTGTACGACATATTCAATTTGCTTCTCACCTTCACCAGCAGGATTCCCTTGTAGAGCTGTGCTGAAGAATGCCAGTCTGCGGTTGGAAACCTGTACCTTTTGGGACTTTTGCAATCCACCTGCGGAATGACGGAATACAGTAGAAACCTAGTTTTGCTGCTAAAGTAAAGAGAATTACTGCTGAATTACTGCTAAAGTTAGAATTACAGCCACCTAGAGTGGTCACAATGACCAGATAGGTGGGATATAAATAGAATGAATGGATGGATGGATGGATGGATGGATGGATGGATGGATGGATGGATGGATGGATGGATGGATGGATGGATGGATGGATATGAATCACCCCACACTGAAATATACCAGCAAACTCAGTTAAAGACTGTGGATGTCCTTCTCTTTGAAGATTTTTGTTATTTTTTCCCCCCTTGGTTTCCAGAGCAGGGTTCCTATTTAGCTCAAGAGACACCATGAAATCACATCATCTTGTAATCAATCAGGCCTTCTAAAAGGGGATGTTAATGAGATCAAATCAAACCTTTGCCTACCTACATCTCCCATGGCAGAAGGCGGGGATGGGGTGGGAGGGACAATTAAGTTATCAAGGTGATTATATCTGGAGATCCCAAACTTTCTATCCTCTTGTGTAAATCCTCTATTTGTACATAACCCCATGAAAGTCATGAGCAGGTGAAGCTACAACAAAATATAATCACTCACATCTGTTATCTGTATCTTCAGCTAGTTGTGACTCGTATCACCAAGGGGACAGGCATAAAACACAGAGGACATTGTATTAGCCCTCTTTGTGTCTGGATTTTTTCTTCCTTATTGCCCTTAATTTAACACCTGAGTAACCTCAGCGATGGAAAGATGGGCTAAACCTAGAGATACCTGCTCTGGAAAATTGATCAGGAATTTCCTGGGAAGCGAAACATTCTAATGAGATTAATAAGTAGGTGTGTGTGGGTGTGTGTGTATGGGTGTGTGGGTGTGTACCCACACACATACATAACCATGTGCCTCTACCCCTTGTTCCCTCAGTTAACAAACACCAACATCTAGAGATCCCAGTTTAGCAATTTTGGAAGCACCTTTTGTGCGATGGCTGCTACATGTTGTAATTGTTTAAGAAGCTGACTGGGAACTCTTCATTACCCTGTTCGTGGTTCGCCTCATGCCAGGAGTTAAACAATAATATTACTAATGCTTTTACTATCATATTCAGTAGGCCTTTAATTGTTATTGAGCTCGCTAGGATACGATAAGCATGTTACAGAAGGTACTATAGAACGACAGCAGGAAAAGTGAAGCGATCACCAGGAACAGCTCCATTGTTCAACAAGAAGAGGCTCATTCTCAGCTGAGTTCTTTCTAAAAAGGGCTTTATTTCCCCCCCCCCCCCAAATGCATTCAGAGGTCCTGAAGGAAACCACCCATTGTCTCCAGCTCTGTTTGGCTTCCTATGCATTGCTGCTTATTGACTCGTAAACCAGGTCCAGCATTTCAGAGCAACATGTCTGATCTGAAGAAAGGCGATAACAAGCTGGGAGCGAAAGTCTTCCAGGACTTTGAAATCTTGCCTCACGCTACTGCAATATAGACTTAGAGCCAAAAACAGGGCCAGACAAAGGAAAATCCACAGGAACAAAGGCATGGTGTTTGCCGTCCTCTGGCGAGCTGCAACATAGAAATGGAAGAGTTGAAAGAAAGAAGAGGGGAGAAATGGGCTTTCCCCCCGAAACATATTTAAACCATTTCCTATGGAGGATCTTCACTGGACGGTGAGTTTTTAGCCCATTGGAACACAGTAAACGCATTAAAGGCACCACTGGGTTTTTTCTTTTCGCATTACGATGTTTTCATTCTACAGTGATTTCGCTGGAACGAATTAACGTCATAATGCAAGGCACCACTGTAGTTACTATATTGCTTATGCTCGTTGCATTAGGCTGATTCAACTTGATAATAAAAACCTTAGAACTGCAGAGCAGGAAAGGACACGATGGATCATCCAGTGAGACACCTCTACAGGGATTTTGAAAACCCACTGAGTGAGAAAATGCTAGACGTTTTCTTCTCATTTATAAAGGTCTCCTTGGTAAGCATGAATATTCAATATTTTTTTTCAAGTTCTGATCCCAGAATTTTCCATTCTGGGAGTTCTATACCTAACATGTGCTCTCCTGGAGAGCTTCACAGCCTAGGATAGATTGAACCTGGCCAGAAGGCAGAATGGCCTAGATTTTGCTGAGCTTGGTTTCCTGTTGGAAAATGAAGCTGTCCCCAGGGCTTGCTGGGAGTTCCAAGCAAGCACTGAGGCGACTTCTTTTTCTACCAGGCAACTAAACTAGATGTTCACCTGCCCTAGGCTATGAAACCACTCAGCCTTTCTCCAGATGAGTTTGTCTGGTCGGTGGAACTCTCAGTATGGAGAATTCTGGGATTTGGATTCCAATAATACGCTGCCTCCTTAATTTGTGTCAAATGTATGGAAAAGATAGTTTCCCTTTCCCTTGACAACCAAAGCATGCACACATATATAGATACAGCGGTGCCTTGACTCACGACCATAATCTGCTCCAGAAGATGGATGTAACTCAAAATGGCCGTAAGTCGAAGCACCATTTCCCATAGGAATGCCCAAAGACTCCCTGCAAGCACACACACAGACATGCTCACTCAGAAGCAGAAGCGAGGCAGTCCCAAGCCTCCTCCGACGCACACTTTCTAACTGCTGGGGTGAAAGAGCTACAAAGAAGCAGCCTCCTTGCCACCTAGAGTTAGAAATTTAAATTTCCCGCCTTTCCCCCCTGCCTTTTTCCGTTCGTAACTGGAAGTTCCGGCCACAAGTAGAAGCAAAATTTTGCGGCTGGAGCTGGTTGTAACTCAAAATGGTCGTAAGTAGGGACGTTCGTAAGTCGAGGCACCACTGTACTTACACACATCAATACAGAAAGACTGCCTGATAGTTAAGGAAGAGGCAAACAACCCATCCGAGGCTTTATATTTCCACAAATCTAAGGAGCAATCAGCTGGCTGGATAGTGAGTTAGGTATCTGGCTACAGAGCCAGAGGGTGACAGTTCAATTCCCCCACTGTGTCTCCCGGGAGAAGAGCCAGGTTGCATGGCCATGGGCAAGTTGCTCAGTTCCAGGGCAGTTCCAGAAGAAGGGAGTGATAAATCACTTCTGGGTAGTCTCTACCTAGAAAACCCTGAAAAGGATTACCATAAGTCAGAACTGACTTGATGACACGTGATTATTATTTAAGGAGCAATCATTCTAATTCTGCATAGATTTTTGCGCACACATCATCCTTGTAAACATGGGGGTAGTGATGGTTTGGCACTGGTAAAATCATTCTGTTCTCACTTACCTTGAACGTCCTATTAAGCTTGCTATCAGTCAGATGACAGCACACGATATATACATGGTATTATTGCTTTTATTGAGAGATTTTAAGAGTATTTTTATTTCTAATGTATTGTGATAACATAATGGATTTAATTCTATTTTAACATGCAGTCGTACAGTGGGGTCTTGACTTGAGAACTTAATCCGTATTGGAAGGCGGTTCTCAAGTCAAAATGTTCTCAAGTCAAATCTGCATTTCCCATAGGAATGCATTGAAAACCATTTGATCCGTATCTGCTCTTTTCCGTCCATAGAAACTAATGGGAAGCTGCTATTCCACCTTCGACCACTAGAGGGGGATATTTTGTTTCTTTTTTTCTTAGGTCAAGAAAGGTTCAGGGAAGGCAGGGAAAATACAGTCCAGGCAGTACCAGGCAGTCCGAAGACTGTCTCCCAATCCGCTCTCTAAACGCTGGGAGGACTGAGGAAGCAGACAGGCACCCTTTTCACTGGCCAACAGTTAACTGAAAGTTCAAATTTTGCACTTTCCCTGCCTCCCACGTGGTTTTTTATTCAGTTCTTAACTCAAATCTAAGTACTTAAGTCAAGTCAATTTTTTCCTATGAGAGCGGTTCTTAAGTCAAAATGTTCTTAACTCAAGCCGTTCTTAAGTCAAGACCCCACTGTATTGTATTTTAATATATGCAACTCTATTGTACTTTACTTTTTTAATGTTTTTAATTGTATTAGAAATCATGCTTGTGCTCAGAGAAAGGCAACGTAAGTAAGTAAATAAAGCACTCCTCAATTAACTACTTGAGTTCCATTCCTATGACAAGGTCGTTAAGCGAACTGGTCGATAAGCGAGAAGCAATACAGGAATAACAAGTCATGTGCTGTCGAGAACAGGTGTGGCAAAGACAGAAGCACACATTTATGAGGGACTGAGATAGGAGTAAGTCCAAGTGGTCATTAAACAGGTAGGTCATGAAATGAGGAGTTTCTGTATGTAAATAAATGCTCATATTAGGGTAAAATGTTGGAAAATGTGTATGAATTTCAATATTGGATTAAAACAGTTTCTACAGGTGACAATAAGGAATCAGGCCTTCTTGGTGGTGGCCCCTAATCTGTGGAAGAAGCTTCCAGTTGAGGTCTGCCAGGCTTTGTCTCTCCTGACATTCAGGAAATTAGTGAGGACAATAATATACAATAATATACAAAGGGTAAGTTAACTTATCCATGGTTATTGGTATTTAACTTGACTAACCTATCCTACAGATGCTGTTAATATTAATTGTTAATGTTTTACTTTTCTCGTGCTTTTTTGTTTTAATTTGAGATCTAAATCATTGAGCTGCCTTACTGACGTATCACTATAAGGTTTGTGTTGGGTTTGGGGGTTTTAATTTGTAAACCTGCCCGAGTCGTATGTCCACTGGAGAGGTGGTATATCAATCAGTCAATCGGTGATTGAAAAATAATGGCTGCAATCCTGTTGTACAGTTATTGAAAAGGCATAATGCACAAACAGGAATCATCATCATCATCATCTTAGAACTGCAGAGCTAGAAGGGACTCTATGTCATCAAGTCCAGCCCTACTCAAGGAGGCATAGTGGGGAATCAGACTTTTAACCAGCTACAGTGGGGTCTCTACTTAAGAACTTAATCTGTATTGGAAGGTGGTTCTCAAGTTGAAAAGTTCTTATGTTGAATCTGCATTTCCCATAGGAATGCATTGAAAACCATTTAATCCGTATCTGCTCTTTTCCATCCATAGAAACTACAGTGGAACCTCTACTTTAGCACTTAATCCGTTTTGGAATGGTGTTCTTAAGTTGAAACGTTCTTAAGTTGAAGCAAAATTTCCCATAGGAATGGACTGAAAACCAATTAATCCGTTCTGGCTGTTTTTTTGTTATGTAGACTGAGGTGCATTCCTACATTGAAGTATTAGTTCCCATAGGAACTAATGCAAAGCTGGTTAATACGTACTCTACCACTAGGGGGAGAATTTTTTTTTTAACCTAAGATGACCTAAGGTTAAAAAAAGAGCAGGAAAGGTTTTTTTTCCTGTTCTTATCTTGGATTTCTGTTCTCAAGTAGAAGCAAAATTTAGCAAATGGAGCTGTTCTTAAGCTGGATTGTTCTTAAGTAGGGACGTTGTTAAGTAGAGACCCCACTGTAAACTACTGAGCTATCCAGTTGTAATATGCCTACAAGCAAATCATCAACTGTTGCACAGTGAATCAGATGACCTGGCAGGCAACAGATAAAGTCTATGGAGATTTCTTATGGCAATTCATGTCTAACAGCAATGCTATTTGTGTAACTGCAAGAGGATTTCAGCCAAAGTCTCACAACCTGTTAGGGAAGGAGAGGTAGGAGATGGCAGGCGGGGAAGTGTTAAATATCCACAATCTTTCTGGTGTGAGTCATGTCGCTGCTACTGACTGCCCCCTCACACTGCCGCTTTGCAAGTGTGGCAGCAATTCAAGTTCCCAGCCATCTGAATGTCTTGTTCCAGCCTTATGCCCTTCAGTATAGCTGTTTGGCACATGCTGCTTAAACAGCAACAACATACACCTCCCTCCGAAGGAAGAGTGAATAACAATGATGAAATCTAATGGAGCGTTAAAAGGATGTGATTATATACAACAAGACGAGGATTACCATAATTAATGCATGTTCTTTGATATTCTCCCTGCTGCACTTTCTCTCCCCCCCCTCCAAAATCCATTTCAGTAAAAGGAGAGAGCTTAAATACTTTTAAATGCCAGGCAGCTCTGGAAAATTATTTAAGACTTTCTGACATCTATTAGGAGACTAGATTTCCCGACCTCCTACCTGTAATGTGAGCAAGTGATAGCTTGGCCTTTCAATCTGGAAAATAAAATGTAAGTGAGTTGGACTATGGTTCTGTGATCTCTGGGAAATCATCCCAGGGCTATAAGGATTTTCAAATCCCTTCCTCGCTATAAGCAAAGCAAAGTGTGCTGGTTATATACCACCCCACAGTGCTTAAAGCACTCTCTGGGCAGCTTACAATTTAATTATTTGGGCTACACCTTTACCCTTGCCGCAAGTGGGTATTCAGTTTGCTGCCCTGAGAAAGATGGAAGGCTGAATGAACCTTGAGCCATCTACCTGGGATTGAACCCAGGTTATGAGCAGGGTTTTGGCTGCAGTACTGCAGTTTAACCACTGTACCTTGAAGCTCTAGAGATGCACCCTCAGAGCTACTTGATACTTGGCCTTGTTCATATGACGTCCGGGTGCAGCAGGCTGTACTGCAGTTTAACCACTGTACCTTGAGGCTCTA